AACATAATCAAGTTGTGTGTTCATAATTTTATGGATACACGATTTTTTTTTTTACACGAGTTATTTTCGTCCATTCACACTTTCTATCATAATTCAGTTGCGTTAAGGCTAGAAAACAGTCTTGTTTTTTTTTTTTTTTTTTTTTTGTCTAAATCTAAAATTCTAAATTATTTAACTTGCAACGGGGAGAAAGAAGCAAAAATTAAAGGAGGCGAAAATTTCCCTGAAAAGCACTTATGTTTTGATTAAATAATATTTATAGTGTTTTGCAGGAAAATATGATAAAGTAAGATTATGACACAAATAGTTGTACTAATTCCCTGCTGTCTACATGTTATCTTATGCTCTATCTTGATTCAATTCATCAGTCATTCCTTTCTCTGTAAAGTACCTCTGATCATGTTATTTAATTGATAATAAAACAGCCTAATTGTTGTTATCAAAATTAAAGCTGCTGTTTTATACTCAGATAGGAGCCAATGTCCTATGCAAAGGTAACTTTTGTGCGTTTTGGGATCCGAGCAAGCTGTGTGGCATTTCTTGTAAAACTGTAGGGCTTTAGCCAAGCAACGTAAGCTTTTTTGCAGGCAACATCGGCGTGAATACCTTTTGAAAAAATACAAATGCGTTCAGCGGAAGACGAATGTGGGAAAAGTTTTGATGGAGATGGCAAAAGATTGTCGTTGTATTCAAATAGAAATCTTTGAAGATATGGAAATAACTTAGTAATTATGTTATTTCTGTAAAACTTGATCGTGACAACAAATGGAAAATTGAAAATACACCTAGTGGGTTTTAGTTGAGTCAAAATATAGATGTGATTCATCACAATCAATACAAATCGATTGACGGTTGACAACGGTTTAAATGGGACTGTATAGATTCTATTGCAATCTTCTCTATGAAATATATGAAGATAACGAACAGTATTCAGGCTCAAAAGTCCATCAAACAATACAAAATAGGAGCAGAGCAAACACGGACCTCCAAACATCAAAGGTGGGATCAGGTGCCATGGAGGAGTGAGCATCCCCTGCCGACCGGTCACACCCGCCGTGTGCTCCTTGTTATGATCGGGAGATAACGGAAAAATCCGTCGACAATTCAGTGTGTAAATAATGGCCTAACAATTTGTATGAAAAACGTCAGTCAGCATTTGACTCAATGATAAATTGTATTTGCTGACAAGGTCATTGTATCGACCATAGAACTTACGAAATGATGACTTTAAACGAGACAGCTGATATTCTTGTTTCATCAACTTGTTTGTCAATAATTTACCTCGTTTTAGAAATTGTACATACGTAGAGCATGCTCTTGCGTATCGAATCAACTGAGAGATATATATCCCGTATGCAGGTGATGAAGGTATATTGCTGCATAAGTAAGGGAAGTTGACGATTGAAAAGTTAAAGTCATCACGTTACGAAATTATATCACTGTTATATAACAGTAAAGATGAATTAGGATAAAATTGAAATCAAAAAGGAAATTTATCAATCTCTTGTCCGTGCCAAGGGTTTTCAAAGATAGACGCTTTCAACTTTTTTCACGCAAAAGTGCCATTAGTTTCTTGAAGTCTCTTATTATCCTCAATATTTATGTAAATTACACTGATTGAATATGTTGTCAATGACTCGTAGTTCTTGACCTTGCCATGAGTGAAAGAGGCCTGGGTTAGCCCTGTTGATACATATGCTTACATGTACATGTATTAAGAAAAAGTCAAAAGAAATGACAAGATATTTTTTTTTAAATATTAATCCTTAAATGTATAATGCTCTATACATTATATCAAAATGTGAATAGTGTATGATATATGAAAGTCAAGAGACTAGCACTAAAGAATACAAAGCCATAAAAATTAATTTTCTTAATTACTGGAAGATTATGTATTGCAATAAAATACGTATAATAGTAAAACAATTAAGTATTTACAAGGTAAATTTTAAAACTAAGACTGTTACAACAATTAACTGAAATCAGTTGAATTTATAAATCCCAATCCAGAACATCGTATTATGTAGAATGTTCTCTTTCCCAATTGTGTGTCTTTTCCAGATAAAAATTCAGATAAATTCATTATCAATACACTGTTTTAAAAACTTGCACAAGAACCATATGTCAGATTTTTTTCCCTTGATTTAAAGATATATTTTCCGTGTGATATCTTCAATTCTTTCAAAAGAAAATTGAAACACATAACTTAAAATTTGTAGCTGTTCTCAAGGTATCCGTCAGGGTTTCTATCTCTTACAAGTATATGCTGTTGTTTACTGTTTCAAAATGACAGTCTTTAGACAATCTAATATTTTGCACAGAAAAAAAAAAGAAAAAGGAAAGTATATTTACTATGAAAACAAAACCACTAAAAAATGTCATTTGTTTATTTGACATTACATGCTATCCGTTGATTGAAATAGGAATGAGGGTTTTACTTGTCAAAATTTTTGTGATTACTAAGCAATTGTGGTAGATTCGAAATCCTTTTTTATATTATTATTAAATTTCATCATTTTCAGGTGTACAACAAATAATATGGCTGGGAGCGCTGGTCTTTTCTATATTATTTATCTATTACGGTAAGAAAACATTCATATAAATTTTAATTTTCAAAATGTCAAATTAAGAAATTTTAACAGTGTTGACAGTTTTCGGGATATACATCATTTGACGGAGCCCATCAGTTTGTCACCTTTGAAGTACATGTATATGTCTTATTCATGTTTTGTAGGAGCACGATAATATCTATTGCCTCTACTAGAATTTCCCTCAAGGCACCAAATCCTACTTCAGTTTCTATAGTCGCATTATTTTACGAATAGCTTTTACGCATATTAATTAAATTTATGCAAGATTTATGCGATAGATCATTATTTGTTACCTTCACCTTTTTCACTGAGAAATTTTGTTACTAATAGCATGATTATATATCACTATCTCATAGAAACTGAAATGCACCATTTATTTTAAATATCGTCATTTTGTTTTATACATGTATTTATATCATAATTCTTAGTCTGTCATGATTATTGCTCTAAAGATTGAAATGCAAATTATTATGACCAGTACAGATTTTTATGTCTTCCAATGCCAGGTAAGCTCACCGCAGCTAGTTTTTTTTTTAAAATCTGTATAAATCAAAGAAAACACCTTCAAAGAGACGAATTATGTCATTTATTGAAATGACGGTATAAATGTAAACAATTTATCAGACAAGAAGGGGATCAAACTCACAAGCTCTGATTGAAAGTTACGTAAAATATGATAATGTCTGATCCCACAAAAAACAACTAGAAAAAGGTACCTATAAAACAAATCAATCAAAAGATCACAAATAAAAAGTTAGCAAAAATATGGCACATCAAAACAAAACAAGACATTATCAAAACGTCGCAAGGAAAAATTAGCAAAATTATGGTACATCAAAACAAAATGTCACATTTAACATAATATGAATCATAAAAAGAGGGGAAGTTTGAAGGGGTGGTGGTGGGTCTTCTAATTAGACTTGTCTCGTGTAAACAGTGGTCAGCGTGCGAATACCAAAACACAACTGACTCGCTAAGCAGCTGACCACGTGCCTTATACCATCCTCTGCTAGAAGTAATTAAATACATTGGCCAAGGCGTGGATCTAAGAATTTTTACAGTAAAGGAATTTTACAGCCATTTAATCCTTATGGAAACCTCTAAATGATTACCCGCATTAAATACATAAATACAATTATTATTAATTATATTAATTGTTGTTTTATGTCGTTAAATGCTAAGCAGCTCACCGCAGCTAGTCTTTGCTATATTTGAATAAATCAAGTAAGGCACCTTCATAGAGATAAAATATGTTATTTATTTAAATAACGGTATAAAGATAAACAATTTAACACACAAGAAGGAATCAAACTCACAGGCTCTGAGTGAAAGTTACTTAAATTATGAAAATGTCTGATCCCTCAAAAACAACTATAAAAAAGTACGTACGAAACAAAACAATCAATACATCAGAAAAAAGCAAAAAGATGGCACATCAAAACAAAATGGGCCACAAGATATGATATGCAAGTCACACCATGCAAGATGCGACATGCAAATCATTATGACCAGTAAAGATCTTTACTGATTTAAATGGATTTTAGTGTTTTTATGTTTTGCAGTGACAAATCCGCATTATGTTTGCTAAAATACGACCAAAATATTGTGAAATCGCTAATTTTCGTGGGGTATAAAAGGACTCATGAATTTATGTCCCTCACGAAATAAAAAAAAAACTACTCAAACATCCTTCAATCACGAAATCAAATCCCCACAAACCCATTTTTTTCTCAACTCACAAAAATTTGAACCCACGAAAATATGTGATTTCACAGTAGATTAAGAAAACTAATTTGAGAATAAAAATTGACATTTTTTTTAATATTATATGTCAGAGACCAAAAGAAAGGCTAACTCACATAGGTATCATGCTTTGTTTTTTGTTTTTGTTTTTGTTTTCATTTTTAATTGCTATCTTTTCCTCGAATCAATAAGGCCAATAAGTGAACAAAACATCTCTTCCTTCAAATTCTCTTTCCAAATATACGCCAATCGATTTTTTTAAAAAATATACTACATGTATGATTTCTTAACAGGAAAAGCAGTACTCTTCGATATCACTATCTCCTTCTTTTGTATTTCATTTGTAAATATTTACTTTGGAGCTTTGATCAAAAGATAAAGCGTCTCCATATAAGTGAAAAATTCTCGAGAGGGACGTTAAACAACATACAATCAATCAATCAAAAGATAAAGATAGCTTACATTCATGATAAGATAAGTTTTTTTAAAATGAGATGTTTTCAAAATTGTATATGGTAAATCAATATCATTACAATCAACATTTTGCAGTCAATATTAAATTTTGCATTTAATAAATAATGTTCTGGAATACCATCTGATCAGCAAAGTACATCACGTGTTGTCTAAACACATTATAACAAAACTGCCTAATATACTTCATAAATTTCATTGCTCTATCCGACGATTACAGAAAGTCTTGTTTAATTTATTACATACGTTTTTGACAACGGCAATTATATCAGGTAATATTAAAGCTGTTATAGTAAAACTTATCAGCAAGACCCCAACACTTCCTAACTGTACAGCACTCGGACGAGATTCATACACACTTATCAAACTTCTGTTATAGGCACTGGTTTTTGACTTATTTACGTATAGCTCCTCCTTCATCTTTTTTATCCATTCTGCAATTGTTTCATTGGTGATATAGCTTTTTTGTCTGTTTGATGTATCTGAAAAGGGAAAGAACATGATTCAAGCAACATTTTTGATTGTACATTAAATGAAAAGAAATTTAAGGAAAAATATATTACAGTAAATGGATTTATGAAAAGGTAAAAAAGGTCCATACGAGACGACACGATTATTATGGAATTATTTTAATTCGTGGGTATAATGTTCGTGAAAAACGAAATTATGTTGTTTCGTAAATATAGAAGACTCAACTTTATTACTTTATTAGAAAGGGTGACCCATGAAATTCACAAACATTGTTCCCAAACAAGATATAATGATTTCCACAATATTGTTATTTACCTCATTTGTTTGCAAAAATATAAAACACACAAAGAAATATTAATTCCTGAAAATATATTTGTATTTATGATAAAAAACGAACCTTGGCACTTCAGACTGGTATAGGTCCACTCACCAGACACACATGTTACTTTATTGTCAGAATTTGTTGGCCTGAATCCATAGCGACATGCATACATAGCCACGTCATTATCAACTAGGAAATCAGCATTTGTTATGTTAGGCACTGGACCACAAGATGACGCTGAAATTACACAATAGGGTGCAGATAAATAATGATGGGTTGTTTTCTACCTATGATAAGTTAGATTGATATAAATCTGATACTTTTTCATATGTTAACCCTTCAGACAAAGAATCGTTCTTACTGATGAAGAATTATTTCTTGTCTCGTTTTTAAAATTTCAATGGTACACATATTTCATACTAGTATGCTTCAGATGTGCTTTTGAAATATTAAGTGTGATTTAAAAATTGTAAATTGAAATATTTATTTGTTTCCATAAACATCTGGTAGGTCATCTACCAAAATATTCAACACTAAATAACAAGATGCGTCCCTAAAAACTTTTTTATGCAATCTATGAACATTTTTCACTCGAAAATAAAATATTTTATTGTATTTTATTATTTTTCTCTGTATTTTGTGATTGTCGCAAGAATTTAAATGATAATTACAGCTGTAATATCTTCCCGCATTGAAACATAAATGCCTTGTCAAGTTTATTTTCACGTCATATGAATGATTTTTTTTTTTACGAATATTCAATTCTTTATTTAAATCACTATTCTTTTTTTCCAAGAAATCATAACAATAGAACATTCTTAGTAGCTCTATTTCAAGGATCTCTAATGATGTAGGTAAAAAATAATGATATATAAACTGTTAAAAGAAGGTTATTCTCAAACGAAATAGTTACGAATAAAATTGGGAAAAGGACTCCTCTTACCATAGCAAGTAAAATTTGTTGTTTGCCACTCATATTGTAAGCAGTTTATTAAACTGGTTCCAGATTTTGGAAGAAACCCCTCGTGACAAGAATACAGAGCGACATTGCTAGAGACCATGACGTCAGCATTAGCAATGGATGGTGGATCAGGACAGGATCCTGTGCATAAAACATAGTGTAATTACTATTAATTAGCATAGTCAAATAACAAAGATTACATATAATGACTTAAAGATCTTCGAATAATTTTCTGACTTGCAATACTTTAAGTATAGGTTTTGGTGCAATGCATTAATATAGCATTGAGGAAAAGATGTATTTATGATTTTAAAAGACATCCCAAATTTCAAGGCTTCTGGAGGAACATAAAAATACAATTTTCAATTGCAATTATTCCTGAATTATGATATGTATTTAAGTCACTGTTATATGTAATTCATGTATATAGACCATGATCCTTACTTATACATTTAAGGTCAGGTGACGGCCAGGTACTGTTGCTGCATTCAATGATGTCAGCTGTATGTTTCAAAGCGAAATATCCCGTTAAGCAGTAATATTTTGCTCGATTGTCCTGAACAAAAACTGCTGCATTTTCAATTGCGGGAGGTGATGAGCAAACAGCTTCATATTAAAAGAACAGAAATGTGTCAGAATTTGATTTTTTTTTAAAATTCCTGATGAAATAAATTAAATTAATGATTTATTTTATCAATTGAAAATGATTTTTGAAAATTACAGCTTTTGTTTATGCATATCAACAGATGTGTTATATACCTTTACAGAACATTGAAGTCATAGACCATGTACCCTCAACACAGTTAATTATAACGTCATCAGAACTTTCGGTGTATCCAGTCTTACAAGCATATAATGCCTTGCTATCATTAGTAACTCCTTCATATAGCTTATAAGCATTATCAATGTCAGGAGGGATTGGACAATCTAAAGTGTAGCATCACAATAATTTTAAAGTCAATCCTGGGAAAAATGGTGTCAACAAAAGATTAAAGACATCGAAATCGGAACAAACAACATGGTTGAAAATTTTCTTTATCATCTGTTCCTGTCTTGTAATGGTCAATTTATAGTGATATTGCCAAAATGAGTAAAAATTCTTTTTCTGACCAAACATTGTCAAGTAAATCAAGTAAATCGTCCTATCAATATCGTGGTGAAAAATATATAATACCTGTAGATACGCATCTGTTCCTTGACCAATCAGGGGAACATTTTTCTGTACCATTGCAAGGCGTACCTATAAGGAAGGAGTTTATTTAACTTTACAAATAGAGATAAAATTTCTTTCTTATAATTTTCAATTATCTGGATACATCTATCTATATCTATAATCTATATCCTTTACATTTCCACTAGATTGATAAGGAAAATGTATTAGATGTTTATTTGAAACAATTTCTTTCACACATCCTTAGTTATACAAATGCGTACCAGATATGTCGATAACTTTAACGATGACTTCAACCACGTCACTTTGTTGATTACTTTGCCCCGAGCCCCACTGTCCACCCAAGTAAACCAAATGTCCATTTGTATTTGTTTGGGCTGGTCTCCAGAGCATGACCTCTGTTTCATTGTATCCGTATATAACAGCTCCATATGGGTCATCGGAGGTATCAATCATAGCGCTACCGCCAGCATTAAATATGAAACCATCGTTGTTTGAAGATGAAACTTTCAACTGATGGAATTAAGTTGGAAACAAATGTATAGAAAACATGGAATGAGGTATGTTAAATGTAACTTTAACTTTCCCTTTGATCTAGACTGACCATTTCCACTCACATAATGTTTATAAAAAAGGAATTACATTCAGAACAGTTTAGATCAAAGACTCAGAAATGAAATTACGAGATTATTTGCTGGACTTTAAGTAAATTATTTCACAAGAAACTCAAAAAATTTCTGTCATTTTGAAATAAAGATTAATATCGTCAAAATACGTAAATTATATATGGTTAATTTTTCTCATCTCAAACTTTCAATGTATCTTAAAACTGAAAAATACTATTTTAAAAAAAATGAATAGCATAATTATCCTTTTTAATAAGAAGAAAAATTCAACATTATGAAGAAAGACTTTTACAACATCTTACAAAACAAATGTGAAGTGTTTAAAAACGCTTAAACGATGAATATGACCTGTTTAGTGTTAAACTATTTTAATATGACTTAACTTTAGACGTACCAGAACAGAAACAATGGTTGAATCTAAATTATACATCGCGTCCAGCTTTACTCGTTCGACAGAGTTAATATTGTTTTTATCCATCGTGAATTGTGATGAGAAATACTTATTACAGGAATCCAGTATCCAAGCTTGAATGTAAAGGTCAGCAGTAGTTTCTTTTATGCTCTCTGTTCCCCAGCCATCATGAACACAAGCCACAAAATTTCCTTTGAATTAACATGACAAATTTTATTTTTTTTATTGATGATCTTCAAAAAACACCTTTTTGAAATTAATTTTGAAAATGGTGATGATAATGTCTCTCTTCCCATAATAAAGCAGATGCATGTAATAAGACTATTGCTTATAGTTCCTTTGCTTTAAAAGGAAATAGCCCTTATTTAACCATTATTATCCCCTTGGAACGGAGTTGGAGGGGATGTAGTAACGCGCGTGTAGGTGAGTGTGCATTCGTGTGTGTGTTAGTTTGTTCTTGTGTGACGTCTTGATTTATAGGAATGCTTTTTGTGAGGAGATGCTCCGCTTTGCGGTGCCTTTGTTTTCTTTTTATCTCTCAAAAATTTTAAAACGCTGAAATAAAATTTCAACCAATTATTCAAATGAGTGTGTCACAAAATAGGGTAAAAGGGATTGTCAGGTTACAGAAAAAAAGAAAAAAATCAAAAGATTCTTGATTAATAAAAATCATATTAAGTATTTTCCTCTGAAATCTGTGAGCCCTGGATATGTGCTACAAGAGGTTTGAACCCTCCGAAAGTTCCTACTTTTAGTTTAGTTAGAAGAGTTATGCTGGACTCCTTTACTGATTTTGTTTACTGAGGGGATATAGATTAATCAGATAATAGATATTTTTAGATAATGTTTAATTTTCCTTGTGATGGTGTAATGAATGCAAATTGTTACGCAGAGTATTTTTATTACATATATTTAGACTTATTAAATAAATAGAATAGAAGCAAAAGGTAATCGAACAAAGTAAATCAGTGCAATTTCGATTTCCATTCAAAGTGATCCGATAGTCGAACTATTTTAAATAATAAAAACGAAGTAAAATTTAAAACTGTTTAAAAAGTAGAGAATATGATCGAACGAAAATTTTGGTCAGACATAAATCTTACCAGATATCGACCAAAGACGGATTTCTTGGTCATTGAATGCAAAAACTGTCCCACAGATAGTTTCATGAGTAAAAGTTTGTGAATTAAATGTGACACCTACAATAAAAAAAACATGGGTAAATCCTTGTGTGAATAGTCTAGGTTCTATAATTTAAAGTGCGTCCCTTACAAACAGAGGGATATAAATGAAAAGGTATCTTTTGGCCAACCTCACCTGCTGCCTCGGAAACATAGCCATTGCTCATCTTTAACTGTACAACAACAAAATCTGGGTTTTTACTAAGTCCGTGTGTAATAGTCTTATAACTGTCTCCTGGTTAAAAAAAAACACTTGAATTGTTAAAGTCTGTTTTTTCTTTTTACATTTTAATCGATGATTTTAATAGCATTTAAAAATGTATTCAAAAATTTATTATCTTAAAAATAAATATTTGTATAAAATCATGCAGTATCGGTGTTTACAAAAAAACATTAATCGTTCCAAATTCAGATTACAGCAATTACGACATCTGGAAATATATATATGAGAAGCTATCAGGTTCCAGGGATAAATATGCATCCCTGTCGATCGGACACACCCAGCATAAGCCATTTGATTTGATCTGACAAAAGAGGCTACAAGCAGAATTAATATATTCTTAAGATTAAAGAATATTCAAAATCTTTTTCACTTCATTTCCTAAGTATTATTTGAATTTGTTAGAGATGCCATTGTTTAAGTCATAAACATGTGTAGCTCATAAGCATTGATTGAAATTATCCTCAGAAGAAATCTTAAGTAGTTAAGAAATACTTCTGGTTTGCTTATGGTTTACTCACAACGTGAAATGTTATAACAACGCAAAATGTTATAAACTGGGATTATTAAATTTTGCGTTATTATACATGTATTTTGCCCCGAGATTAACGCAAATTGTAAGAAGATATTTTATTGGATTTTTGCATTTTGCGTTATGACATTTTCGACGAGATTTATGCAAAATGTAATAACGCACTTTTTGATGGTTACATTTTTGCATTATTAATTTTTGCCTTGAGGACAACGCAAAATGTAATGAAACAAAATGTAGTAACATAACACAAGAAATATATGTTTTTTTGCATTGTGTTCAACGCAAAAAATCACAAAATTGATTTAAACATATATTTTATATTATTAATTATTAATAATAGTATTGTGCTGAAGTGGATTGTTCGGTTAGGGTATGAAATACATTTAAGGTCCTTCATATTTATATTTTTTTGTGTGTATGCACTTCACCCGAGAGCGCAAGCAAACAATGGCTGGGGCCAGATGCGTTATTTTTAAGCTTGTCGTATGTTGCAACTTGTCATATAGACTCAATATTGCCCAAATCAATCTTGTTATAATTCGCTCAAACCATATCGATCGGCTAAAATATATACTTAAAATTTTGCGTCGGACCATTCTCCTATAAAACTTTTCATTAAATTTATATTTAATATTATTCATTATTTAAAATATATTTACTAAATATCTATCAATACAAGTATATAGAACGCATATATGGCGTGTAAAAAGATGCATTATCATACATTTTTGTTATTTTTATTTAAAGAATTTATAATATATATATATATATATATATATATATATATATATATATATATATATATATATATATATATATATATATATATATATATATATATATATATATATATATATATATATATATACTATTCTAAAACATATTCCTATTCAATAAAACGTGATTCCTATTCGATGATTTGTCATTTGTATTCGATAAATTGTTATTCCAGTTGGAAAAAATATGATTCATATTCCAAAATATATCATTCATATCCGAAAGCATGTGTTTATTATTTGATAACATGCCATTCATAAATGTTTCCAATGGTTCATGCTTTGCCCTTGTTACGATTAATAATATATTGTTTCCAGCATTTAAAGGATCATTGTTCACTTTGAAATACAATGATAGTCGTCCGAAAAAGCACCTTGCAAATGTTCCAAACACATTTAAAATGCTCAAAAGAAGAATGGATGTATATAAAATTCACTTTATGTAAGTGGTAAACTTTAGATTACGATTACTTTATATAATTTGTTCATACATTATGTATATAAAAAGAATATTCTGCGTTTTTCATTATCATGTCTAAGATGGCATTCACGCGAACGGGAGTTAATGCTTTTCTCTGGAGCATTTAATGGAAATTTGATAAATTTTTTATTGATCAATCTTTTTTGGCCTTGTTTTTGATTGAATAGGTTCAAATTTCTGAAGATATATTAATCTTGATGATTCATGTGTGCGAGTATAGATAGTATCTTGAATAATATATTGATAGTCTTCAAAATATGCTTTATCATACAACTTCATATGGAGATTATTAAAGAGTCTTATTCAGTTTCATAAAATCTAACCGTAGACATTCTATTCGATTTCTGTTGGGGTTTTGCAGATAAAAAAGTAATATTTGTATGCATCAACGGAATAATGAAAAACTCAGAAAAATGACATAACTATATATTATATTTTATCTAAAGGAAAAGTCTTGATACACTGGTACACAAAGTTTCTTATGATTTAAAGTTAGTATATACAGCTAACTTATTCTGCATACGCTTTTGGTAATAAGAGATAAAAGTTCCTGAAACGATTTCAGAATTTTTTTCTACATAAAGTAAGACAAAGTAGTCAGGTCATTTAATGTTATATATATATATATATATATATATATATATATATATATATATATATATATATATATATATATATATATATATATATATATATATATATATATATATATGTAGCTTATATGGAGAGAGAGAGAGAAGTTGTTTTTCAATCTGTAGCAAGATGCAATGATACAACCTTTTTATTTTTATCTAAATCACTTAAAAAATAGCTTTACAATATCTATTAAGATAAGCTTTTCAAAATTCATATTTGCACATATTCTGAATTCTTATATAAAAGCATGATTCATGATGTTTTAGATGTTATGAAGATAGACAGCTTGATATATGAATTGGATAAAAATAATTAAATATCCCTATACTACAGGTAATTCATGAACATGAACCTTCTATAGTGAGCAATAGATGCGATAAATCTTCGCTAGTATCGACTTTTTGGATTTATTCGACACTTACATTCTCATAATATATTTACGCTCTCTAATTAAAATGTGGCATAATGTTTTCCTTTCTATAAAGATTGTTTAAATGTGTGCGATTGATTTTTTCTTAATTGAGGGGGATAATATATAAAACCATTTCTTCAAAAAATGGAGAAAAAAAATGTTTTTTTTTTCAAAATATTCGAATACATCTATGACGATTCTTTTGACTGAAGAGGATGAGTTTTAATATCAAAATGTCGTCATTCATGAAGCGAAACTTCTTTGTTTTCAGCGTAGTTAAGCTGAAAATGATAAGAGATAACTATTAAAATTCTAATAAGAGAGGACGTTTGAAAAATACCATGGCATAAATATTTTTATACATTCGGGTGAGGGGTGCGATAATATCCAATGAAAATGATTACAAAATTGCTTTAATTAGAGATAAAATATATTTACTTTATTAATTAAATTGTCCTGACAATGAAGAAAATAGTATAGAATTAACAGTCACATCTCATGAAGGTTGACAAGACTTTGCATCGGAGGAATACTGAATGTCTGAGTTCATTTTTACTTTTTTTTAATGTTTCGTCTACTTGATTAAAACAATATACTATATCAGTATAGCTCATGGCGAGTGTGACTGGTCACCAGGAAATGCTTATTCCTCCTAGGAAATATGAAATTTCCAGGGGTCCTTGTCTTATGCCCTCTTGATATATTTATATTGTTTTTGATAACTGTTCGTTATCTGCACGTTTTACATAAACCGAATTCTAAGAGAGGCTTTTTGCTTATCTTTGATGAAGACCAAAAAAAAAAAAAAAAAAAAATTCTACATGTTGTGATTTAAAACAAATCTCCTCCATGAACGCTGAAATTCTTATTTGATCAATCCAAACTCAGTTAATCCTAAATATTAAATAATTTTGGATAACATTCCCGAAAAGGTACGAGATAATGTTTTCTACTAAACCCAAATTGATAATTCAAAAGAACAGTGCTTACCTGTTGAAATGCTTTGACTACCATAGCTTGTGAATTTCGCTGGTGGTAGATCACACAATCCCCATACCTTAACCCTAATTAAACCTACCAAATAAAGTCCTTGAAATGGGCCAGCAAACGCGGATCCACCTAAATCATAATAAATACTAAAACTCATAATTACAAATATAAAATGTATGTAGTCTACAGGAATCTTAAAAGATAAGAATAAGACAGTAAATATTTTATGCCCCGGGATCGAAAGATCCCGGGGGTATATTGTTTTTGTCCTGTCTGTCTGTTTGTCTGTTTGTTTGTCTGTCTGTTGTCAACTTTAACTTTGCCCATAACTTTTGATTGGTTGGAGCTGTAACTTTCATATTTCACATGTGTATTCCTTGTGACAAGACCTTTCTTTGGGTACCATCATATTTGACCTTTTGATCTTGACCTTGGAGTTTGACCCACTTTTGCAAAATTTTATGAGACTTTAACCTTGGCCATAACTTCTGAACAGTTGAACCGTTCACGGTAGCTCAGTCTGTAGAGCGCTCGCTCCGTGATGGGGAGGTCGTGAGTTCGAATCTCTGCCGCGACAGACCTAAGTCGATAAAAAAATGGGTAGCAACTGTTCCTTCGCCATGCGCTCGACACTTTGAAGTGAAAGTTGCGGATGAGACCTTAAAAACCGAGGCCCCGTGTCACAGCAGTCGTTGGCACGATAAAGATCCCTCACTGCTCAATGGCCCTGAGTGCAGAGTAAAGGTCAAAATTTGAAACCCTTCACCGGTATATGGTGACGTCTCTATATTAGTGAAAAATTCTCGAATGGGACGTAAAAAACATACAATCAATCAATCAATCTGAACATTTGGAGCTTGGGGTTTCAAACTTCACATGTGTATTCTTTGTGACAAGACCTTCCTCTGGATGTCAACTCCTTTGACCCTGTGACCTTGACCTTGGAGTTTGACCTACTTTTGAAAAACTTTAACCATGGCCATAACTTTTGAACAGTTGGTGCTTGGGGTTTCAAACTTCACATGTGTATTGCTTGTGACACGACCTTCCTCTGGATATCAACCACTTTGACCCTTTGTCCTTGACGTAGGAGTTTGACCTTCTTTTGAAAAACTTTAAATCTTGGCCATAACTTTTGAATGGTTGAAGCTAGGGCTTTCATACTTCACATATGT